CTTTCTCTCCTGCTTCCATTCAGCTCCCCTCCCTTCCTCCTAGCAACAATGGGAAAGAGAATCAAATCCTCCTTTTGAGTTGAGCTGCCCTACTTTTAGGTAAACTGCCACTTCTTGCGTTTCCTAAGGCAGGGCAGGCATCCACTTGTGCTATCTTTGTTAAATGCTGGCATGTGCCTGTGCCCATGCCCTACTTTATGAAAGCATTTGGACCTGCTCAAACGAAGGGAGCACATTTGCCTCAGGAATCTCTGTGTGCTTTGAAGAATCTGAATTTCTCATCTCTTCCCTGACCAAGCCTTGGAACGATTATTATGAGTTGATGGTTTGATCAATTGATGGTTCCTTCGAAGTGACATTGGAGGCTGAACGGGCAGGATTCTGTTTCCCCTGTTTAGTTCTTCTGCTTGTCAAACGAGCCTTGCTTGCTTTGTCAGAGCAAATGGTTTTGAAATGCAACAGACCCAAGGAGAGCATAATATTGTTCCTTTCATCCATGATTTGTTTGTTAGCCTTGATGCCAAGGAAAGAAAGTCATACAAGAACAGCAGTAAGTGGCAGCTGATGGCCACAGGGGGTTATATTTACTGACAAAATGCAAATTATAGAGGGACATTTGGTATATGTTTGGTCTAGTGGTGAAGGCACCAGGCTAGAAAACCGGAGGTTGTGAGTTCTAGTCCTATGACAGGAATGAAGTCAGCTGGGTGATCTTGAGCCAGTCCTTCTCTCTCAGCCCTCAAAAGGAGGCAATGGCAAATGAATTTATTTATTTTTTTGGAGAAAAATTGAAGGAACTTCTCCAGGAGTGGAGAAGGAAAAGGAAAAGAAGAAAGAGAAGGAGAGATAAAGTGGTAAACATTATATGTAAGGGGGAAGACTAAGAATACCACCCACCCCCCTGCAAATAAGGCTTGGAGATGACATTGCTTAAATTTCCTACCTATTCAGTTATCCCAACCTGTCCAATCTCAGTGAACACTGAGGTAAAAGAAGATGTTGCTGTTATCTACCAGGTGTTTTAATCTAGAAACTGTTTTCTGAACATTCCAAAAACACAACCATACTTCTTTCAAAATCACTGATCAGCCAGCCTACTGAAGGGGCCAATACTGTGCATTTAGAAAGATCCATGTAGCATTCATTGTTGGGATTAAGGCCATTTAGGGTTTTCCCCCTATCTCTGAGTTAAGGTGCCCACTCACATCCTTGTGTCAGCACAATACAATGGAGCCCATTAAATTTGTTGCCCATGTTATGAATACTTAGCCTACTTCTATTGCCTCTGTTTTAAGTCAGTGAATATTCTTACCATACCTTGTTGCTTATTGCTACAAGCATGCTAAGTGTTTTTTTTCCTCCTGGTTTTGCTTTCATCTCTTTTTAGCATATCAACAGCAAGAACATCAGTCTACCAGATGAATGAAATGGGTCTCACTTCAGGACTCTGCCCAAGTAGCTTGGGGGGGAGGGCTGCCGCCGAATTTGTGTCTGGATTCCAGCTGCTACTCCCTGCATGCTGATCAGGTGTTTGGCAGTCACCAGCAGCACAAAAGTGATTGTGAGGGGGGGGGGAGTGCCTTCAAGTCAATTTTGACTCCAGACAATTGTCCCCTGCCCTTTTTTCAGCAGCGTATTTCAGAAGTGGTTTACCAGCTCGTTCTTCTTGAGGATGAGAAAGGTGAGAAGCCAAAGATCAGCAAGCTGGCTTTGTGACCAATGCAGGAACAGCATTCCATCTTTAACCACTATACCAAGTAGCTCTCAGGAGCGAAGAGGTGTATTTGTCTATGTGTTAGAAACAATCCATCCCAGGTATCAAATGCATTAGGTATGCCACTGACTCTGGCTGTGTTCCTTAGGTTGGTTTGTCTTCCCCTGTTTCCCAATTGCAAATCTAAAATAATGTGAAATCATGAAATACCTGGAAAGACACAAGATCTGGCCTTAGAGAGGAAGGAGGCAGATCCTGCCATGCTTAATCAGTGAACTACACCCTGAATAACTATTAGATAGCTAGTCCCTTCTTTCAGTGGACTGAAACTGACAACTATAGATAAAATGGCAAATATGCCTTAACCATTGTAATTTTTAATATGATGGGAGAGAACAATATTTAAATACATGGTAAAATTATAAGCATTAATTTCTTTGTCTTTGTTGTAGCCACATTCTTTGGATAGTACATGGAAGGATACTCAAAAGGCCAAGTTAAAACTCTCAGGCCAAATTACTCCTGGCTTAAATAACAGCAGTATTCTCAAAGCACACTAACAGCCACTTAAAGATTTATCTGCTGCCTTTGCATAATAAGCAAAACTGGAAACTTTGTAAAATATTATTTGACAGACTAAAAACATTTGGGTTGTTTAAAAAAAAATTTCACAATGGCATTATCTGTTGAAGAACTGAAAATGGAATTTAAAAAGCTAAAAGAAGAGAATCAGAATGGAAATTATATATTATTTTAAGTGTTAAATTGAGGGGAAAGATATAAAGGCGTCATACTTCAATCAGTGATTACAGGAGAAATTTTGTGTTAATGAGAAAAGATAAATAGATAATTGAAAAATGGACAAAAGATACAAGCATAATGATTTAAATTGAGTTGAACTAAATAAAATAGAATTAAGAGAGTGAAAAGAGGAGAGACGTCATACAGAAAATATAGAATGGTAAATAAGATATGAAATGGTATATAAAGTGAGCATGAATTTGATTTATGTCTGTATAAAAAGATGTAACATGGGACTAAGCCGCTTTCCAAAAAGAAGTTTTATGTTTTCATGTTTTGTGTTTGTTTGTGTATGTTTGTTTATTGAAAATTAATAAAAAAATTATTGAAAAAATAATAATAAGCAAAAACTGGTAATTTTCATTTTGATGTCAGTGGAAACTCAGAAAGTGGGTTAATTCAATAACTAAAATATGCCAATTATGTGAACACTTGAATTGAATTTCTGCTCAGTTGTTTTGCAATATAAGGATTGTATTCTTTCTGTTCAAGGGTGACCATATCAAGATCATGGCCATTTCTTAGAGAATGAACAGAAATGAATGCTTTATTTGCATACTTTTCTTAGAGCTCTTCTCTAGACCATATTTGATGGATTGCTTTTATTAATCATTATCACTGGATTAAAATCTTACAACAATGAAGCCTTCGTGGCCTTAGTGATAACCATTCAGACTGCATCATTGTCATACTGTAGTTCATTTTCTCCTTTTCTGAATATGTCACCTTGAGATGTATTGATCAGTTATGTGCTCAGTAAATGGCAGAGGAAGTACAAGAACATGAACTACAATTTGAAAAATAAAAATAGACAGCAAACAAATTTTCCAGGGATAAAATAAAGAAGCAAATGAGCAGGAAAGATTCTTGTACCTGCTGACAGACTAAGCAATTTATTGTGGAATAAGCTTTCATGGTCCAGAATTGACTTTCCCTCGGTACCATGTTCGGTTTATGATGCACAAAGTACTGTTTTATTGGATAGATTCTAAAACTTATTATATGTCATGCTCTTCAGCAGTCAACATGTTCTGATCATTTACGTGAATAGTCGTGTATACACTGCTTCTATATTTTGAATACCAATGATGTTTTCAAGTGTCAGATGGCAAGCATACTATACCGCTCTATCCTTTAAATACCCCATCTCTGACGACAAGAGCTATGTTTGTTCAGCAACATTTATTCATCATTGAAGATTGAAAGGAAACTGAAATATGGAACGACTGGCAGACCCAAAGGCCAAAAACAATTTTATTTTCTTTCATCTTTAAGGCAGGTGAATTGGGCAGACAGGCTGTGCTGTTTGTGTCTCTAATGTAAAAGCATTAACTCATGAAAGGAAAATTCTATTCTTTTTTTTACAGGAAATCTTTTCCTGACATTTCTTAATGTAGTACAGGCTAGATGCGATGCTCAGAGGCCATACTGATAAAAGCATGTCGTCTAAAAATAGTCCATTCAGTCGGATGTCGTAGTTCCTTTGTAAGAGCTTCTCTGGCACCTTCAAAGTATTCTAAAGTCTTGCTGTGACAATAGGGATAAGATCTTAACTCATGAGTGTAAAGCACAGATTTAGGGTTGCAACAGGTGTGCAGAACAAGTTCATAAAAGGCATAATAATGCCACTGTACCTTCTTTCCCAGGGTCACATGAGGAAGTATTGGAAATGTTCTAATAATATTCCCGTTACTAGAATTGTGCTTCGCTGAAAAAAAAAAGTGACTTATGACCATTTTTCACACTTATGACCATTGCAGCATTCCCCATGATCATGTGATTTACATTCGGATGCTTGACAACTGACTCACATTTATGACGGTTGCTGGGTTCCAGGGTCATGTGATCCTCTTTTGCTACCTTCCGACAAGCAAAGTCAATGGAGAAACCAGATTCACTTAACAATCGTGCTACTGATTTAGCAACTGCAGTGATTCACTTAACAAATGTGACAAGAAAAGTCGCAAAATGGGGCTAAACTCACTTAACACATTTCTCACTCTCCGCATATATTTTGGGCTCAATTGTGATCATAAGTTGAGGACTACCTGAATATCTTGGTACTGTTCTGCCAATTTGATACCTGAATCCAGCTCTTCTTTAATTCTCTCATAGGACCATTTCTGCACATACCAACCACATATTAACGTTCTTGGATAATCTCTGGCTTCATACGTTTCATTAATAAGCAGAATAAGCAGGCATATGATCAATGGGAATTCCATACTTTTTTTTTTATTTCAAAATGAATCCCTTTCAAAAGTCCAAGCAGAACAGTTATAGGTAAATGTAAGCCATCTAATATATTTTGTTATGTTCCAGAGATTCTGGCCAAAAAGACTGTATTAATGAGCAACGACCCAAAATATTTAAACATCTATTCCTGCTGCTTAGATGTCCATTTCTCAGTCATCACCTGATGACATGCAGTGCTTTGGAGGAGAATCTCAGTGAAAAACGTCCATCATATGGAGGAAAAGGAAGCTCAGGAGTTTTGAAATCCCCACACTTCTAGTAGCTGGACCTGGAAGTTTTGTTGGCAGAGAGGAGGGTTGTCAAAAGTTTCACAGTGTTCTGTTCTTCCATGATTCAGATTAGCATCAATATATAAAGCCTGGCCTCCGCCACCCCCTAGGAAAGAAAACCAACATGATTGGTTAAAAATGTTTCTCACCATCTGATGGAACAGAGTTTTTAGATACTGCCCCTGGTCTCTTTTCCTGTTGTTTGCATCTAAACAGTTTCTGACTTGAACTGAAGAGGGATGTGTTGTTGTATTACACATGATACAGTTTTTGTATCATCATGGAAAATGATGACTTTATAGATTCATGAACAATGTCATTTATGTTTTAGACATAAATGGTATAAATTAGACTAGACATAAATAGGTATGTCTAATCTAGTGAAAAGAAGGACTGTGGGGGACATGATGGCACTCTTAGAATAGTTGAGGGGCTCTTTCAGAGATGGGGGGGGGGGTCAACTGTTTTCCCAAGCATCAAAAGACATGAAACAATGGTTGGGAACTAACCAGGACAGAAGCAACCTAGAAGCAAGGAGAAATTTCATAACAGTGAGAGCAATTAACCAATGGAATAGCTTGCCTTTAGAAGTTGTGAGTGCTCCATCACTGAAGGCTTTCAAAAAGAGACTGGCAAACCTTTCATCTGAAATGATATAGGGTCTCCTGCTTGAGCAAGGGATTGGACTAGAAGATGTCTGATACCCGTTCCAACTCTTTTATGTTCTATGTTCTATCTTTGCTAATATGGTCATGTGCTCTTGCTTCCTTGAGGCTGTCATGAACAACACAGTGTACTCTGGCTGTATGTACTACAGAACAAGCTGATCAATAATAACCAGACTACATCATCAATGAGCACAAAGTTCTTGTCTAGATCAGGTCTTATTCTGCAAGGTACATAGTAGATTTATTTGGTGAATATAAGCCACCAAAGTTTATTATTCCATCCATTCTAGGTAGTTGGTGTGTGTGTGTGTTTGTGTATGTTGTCTTTTATTTCTTCGGTTTCGCCTGATATCAATGAACAACTTCTTCATGCTTTAGTTAAGGATTTCAACTAATTAAAATCTTTAACACAAAAAACAATCCCTCTCCTCTTACAGGCTTGTAATTATCTATAGCTATCTATCTATGTACCATCTTTCTGTGAAGAACTTATCAACAAATAAAAATAAAACAACGTATATAATTGTCTGAAAATTGTAAAACAACGGTCAAACTACAAAGCCAATTTTTAAAAAATTGCTTGAAAATGAATTTTAAACTCAAGAGTTGTAGATATCTTTTGCAATTAGGGCAGTATTCATAATAAACTACAACCAGGCAAGTTCATCAAAGCCAACTAAACAATACTGTGGGTTAATATGACATATGAATACAATTTAGGGGGATTGCAACAGAATGAGATGCCCCTGTGAGCACCAACAACTTTCAAGCCTATTCTGCAGATAACTAAACCAGTTGCTTTGCTGTTAGCCAGATCTAGGGGCATTTGGAACGTTAAAAGGTAGAGCCAATTAATGAATTAAACTCATAAAATAATTGATGCTGGACCCTGATCTTTCCTGTTGATGTAATCAGATCTCAGTGTTACAGTATATACTGGTTAGCAGCCAAGTTTTAAAAAATTGTTTGAAAATGAATTTTATAACTCGAGTAGCTTCAGTTTTCACTGACACTCTAAACAATCCACTTTTTACAGAAAAGACTGCACTTAGTTAATTCTCATTGAAATGCATTTTTCAACTTATTTTTTATTTGAAAATTCAAATTGTACGTGGCTTGAGATAAACCAATTTCATGTGACTACCGTTTATGCTGACCTGACCGTAAGCAGCAATTTCATGCCACCCTTTGGTGCCCAGCAAGTGCTTCCCCTTCCTCTCCTTGAACTGACCAGTGCTCTCTCCATCCAGAATCATCTCCTTCTTAACTACTCCCTTCCCACAGTTACTTTTCACAGCAAGGAAAACAGGAGAGGCAGCATAGCAAAGCCAGAATTTAATGAAACTGCAGGAGAGAGCAGGTAAAACACGGCAGCACATTGTCATTTGCGAAGAAGGAGAATCCTAAGCTCTGCAAGGTGAGACAAGCCAATAAGTTCCAGCCAATTAGATATCACCAAGCACCTTAACAAAACCCAACAACCAACACCTTGCCTCATTTTCTCTGGAGCAGGAGTCACATTGGGAGATAGCCTTTGCATTCATGCCCCAGACAAATTTGTATTGCTCCCAGTAATGGAAAAGGTCTTAATTTTCTTTCGCTTCCCTTAATGATTAATTCAGGTAGGGTCTGCTGGCAAATTTAAAAGCAAAGAGAAAGATGAGAGTAGGAGGAGAGGGGGAAATGAAGTACCAGTATTTAAAATAACCAGAAGTCAGCCAAGTAACTCACAATATTAGCTATGCTTAGATTTTGAGACAGACATGCTGCTTCAACACTAGATGAAGGGAAGTAGGTGGAAGCAAGAGCTAGGAGCTAGAAGGAAGAAACAAGGCCACGCATGTGAGAAGTTGTGGAGGAGTGAGAAAAGTAGTCAAGAGCAAGGCGCACAGAGGAGACAGGTGGATTTGAAGGTGACAGATTAAGGAAGAAAGGAAAGAGAAAACAGGGGGAAAAGGAAATGTAGCAATACTCCTGGAACAAAGGGTTTTATTGCCAGTACCACCTGTTGGTATATTGAGGAGGAGGAGGAGGAGGAGGAGGAGGAGGAGGAGGAGGAGGAGGATGGTCAAGATGATGATATAATGGATTGCAATATGAATGTTTCTCCTTCATATACTTTGGTAGGACAACCTTGCCAAAAGTTCATCATGACATTTTACCATATTGACCTTTTTCTATATGTCTTTTTCCCACCCCAAAATATATGTTGGTTATGATCATCCCAGCTCAGCTTGAATTTATATGTTAAATAAGCAGCACCAAAATAACATTTGATTTGGAGATTGGGGTGCCAGAAATATGTATAGTGTTTAGCTCTCCAGAGCTTATCCATGATGTTTATTTGCATAATTACCTATGACGATTCCTTCCTGGCTTCCAGACATGAACATGGAGGCTGTTTTGGAGGGCAACTTGAAGTGTCTAACTGCCAGGAAGGGAGAGAGACGGTATTTAATTGTTTCTAACTTTGGCACAGTGAGATAATTTGAGCTGGTTGTTCTGTGACTCTCCAAAGAAAAGGGAGACGGAGAACGCGGGCGTTGGGGGCAAGGTAGCGCTTTAGCTTGTTCTGGCTTCTTGATGAAGACCCATTCGTATCGCTCCATTTTAGGATGCACCTTTTAGGAAAAGACAATATCAATCAGGGTTATTTTGGAACTCTCCATCCAGAATAAATAGACATTTCTTTTCCGTCTGTGGATCCAGAGTTTTGGTGTAGCCCGGGAAGGAGAGTTAAAACAGCCTTGTCCTATCCTTAATTGAAGAAGATTTACTGGAGTCAGAACCGGAATCCAACAAGGGTGCAAGGGTACACTAGCTAAAAAGAAATCAAACCAGAAAGACACCAGAAAAGTGGGAAAGAGAAGCCTTCAACACAAAGGAGAGCACCATAGCAGTGGTCTTCAAGCTAAAGAAAACTTCAGTTCTTGTCCCTGCAAGATCAGCTAAGAGATGGAGAAAGAAAGGAGCCCAATCAGTATCTATAAACCCAAGCATGACTACAAACCAGGTCCAGAAAGAGAGGAGTGTAAGAGCTGGGAGAGAGAAAAGCCCATAACAAAATCTATGGAGAGAAAAAGGGGGAAAAGAAATAGTTAAAGAAATAGTTAAGAAGGTAGGGAAACACAGTGCTACAAACATAGAAGTAGGAACACTGAGTAGAACTTAGAGAGATAAGAATGTATAAATTAGGATAAAATCATCCCATTGCTACAGTATAAATTTATAGTAATGGGAAACCTGTAGATTCAGAAAGGTGGGAAACTAGAAACAAGCCTACAATTAGCATTAAGGTTACAAGTAAGGAATAGTGTGCTGTCTAACCAGTGTACGGGAATTGGATAGTTAGGTAGCAATTGTGAGCTGTTCCCTTAAGGGAATGCATCATGGTAAATGTAGTTAAGGTATCCTGGGAAATGTAGTCCATGTTACATAACCACATCTGTAATCCTAATTGGTCACTAAATTGACCCTCGATGGGTTTTGAATTTTGAATAATAAAGCAGTATTTGTAGAGAGAGAAAAACAAATTCAGTCTTTCTGCCTATGATCTATACCAGATTAAGAAAAATCCTAAGAGATATCACAACTGTGACTATTGATACATTTGGCAAGGACTGTGCAGGGATAGCAGGCTCTAAAGCAGAGATCCACAGGCTGCAAGTTGCACTTAAGTCCCTGATGTTACACATCTACATGTTGATGGCATGCTATGGCGCGATTTGGACTGACCGAATATATAAAGTAACCCATTCTATTTTATCCAAAAAATTCCAGCCTTGCATCACTGTCATATGCCCTGTGGTCCTCGCCACTGAAAACACCATTCAAAAATATTGTTCTCTTGTTTTGTTAAGATCTGGCCTCTTCACGCAACAGATTTTGGTTAAGATCTTGATATCAGCAAATGGCTAGTGAGACTAAGGCAGAGCATGGCTCTTTAGGTAGAGCGAAGGGGACCTTTTTCCCAGAAAGAAGAGAGCACAAATCAGATAAAAAAGAAAAAAGAGCAATAGAATTGCCTCCCTCCCTCGTTTTATATTTGTATGCAGTTACAATTTTAGTTAATATTTACATTTTGGATTAAGCTGGTCAGAAGGGCCTGTTTCAAAGGTGGAACGTTAGTATGTTATGAGAAGGAAGAATTATCAGGCATTATAGATTCCTGGGGAATCAACTAGGTTAACAGTTAGGGGAATGGGCCAAGCAATTTCTATTTCTATAGGGGAGGATACATAACATGTATCGTGCTGCATTTCACTGGTAGTGACTGTAGAAAAATATCCATTGAAGTAATGTTGTGGGGAGGGCTCATATCCTTTGAGAAGGCATTCAGGGACATGGTTTTATTTTGGAATAATGCAACCGTTTTCATTCTTTGCAGGATTCTGAAGCATATGAGCTCTATTTTCTCATTTTCATCATACCCCTTAGGTTATACTGATGGTAAGATTTGGATCAGACTGACCAATGCATAAAAGGAACTGAAAGAAAGTTCTTATAAAACTTACATATTCTCCACCATGGAGCCCTGGTGGGACAGTGGTTAGAATGCAGTATTGCAGACAAACTCTGCCCACAGCCTGGAGTTTGATCCTGAGGTTGACTCAGCCTTCCATCTTTCTGAGATCGACAAAATCAGGACCCAGATTGTTTGGGGCAATGTGCTGACTGTATAAACCACTGTTGAGAGTGCTGTGAAGCACTGTGGGGCAGTATGTAATTCTACGTGCTATTGCTATTGCTATGGAAGTAAGCTAAACTTACTGTAAAAATAAAGCATTCTCCTGTTCCAAAGAAGCTTGCTGTTCCTCCCCTTTTTTTCCTTTCATTCCAGTCAGAGGAAAGAAATGCTCCACATACCTGAATGGAAATAAGATGTGAACAACTGCATAAGTTTTCCTGATAATTAAAAAGGCTCAAGAAAATGAATGATCACAGAAGACAACTTAAACTCTTACTGTATTCAAATCATCCAATGAAAAGAGGGGTTACCAAGCAATGTGGAGATGTAGTTTAAAAACATGTGATTATCATCTTCCATTTACTTTATGAGGGCACCCTGGAGCAGAACATTAGGGACGAGGCTATAGAATCCTCTTTTGATGTATACAGGTTTAGGGGAGCAGTTTTCAGTAAGTTAATCCACTGAAGTTTTGCCTCATAAGTAACCTGTGCTTCCAGTGCGACTAACACAGTAAATGAATACATACAATTCCAGGCAACAAAGGCTAAAATGTAATCAGTAAAATATATAACCAAAGATTAGAATTACCCAAGTAGCTGAAGATAGAAGCACAAAATAACACTGGAGATAAAAAGTCTTCTGAACCAAAATTGGATTTTTCATTGGCATCCAAGAGGCTGAAGGTGGAGGTTCATTCTCCAAGTTTGTGGGTTGGTTTCCAAATGTTTAGTTAGTAGGCAGGGTAACATCTTCAGTGGAGATGAAGACCTCACTTGTTGCGGCCCATACCTGACCCATCACAAGACCCATCGCAAGACATTCAACCCACAGAGGGATTGAATCAAGATCATGTGAGGTACTAATACTACTCTAGAAAGCCTTAGTAAGACTACACCTAGAATACCGCATCCAGTTTTGGTCACCACACCATAAAAATGGTGTTGAGACTCTAGAAAAAGTGCGGAGAAGAGCATCCAAGATGATTAGGGGATTGGAGACTAAAACATATGATGAACTGTTGCAGGAACTGGGCATGACTAGTCTACTGAAAAGGAGGACTGGGGTGACATGATAGCAGTGTACCAATATTTAAGGGGCTGTCACAGAGAGGAGGGAGTCAACTTTTTATCTGAAACACACGAAGGCCAGACTAGGAACAATAGATGGAAACCATTACCTGATGGGAACTCCCCATCACAAGACCTACTGACCACACGAAGCCTTTAAAAAAAGAAAAATACCAACACTGACATCCCCTAAACTCCACTGAATATGTTACCTAGCCTGGTAATGAAACATTTGGAAACCAACTCACAAGCTCAGAGAAAGAATCTCCATCCTCATCCTCCACCTGAGCTACAGATATTTGCCACCATCGCAGTCCAAGAGGATCTCAGGTGATGTTCACTGGAGAGAATGTTCAGAGATGAGGCTCTTTATCTGAAACACTCTATTCTTAGTAGCCCAGCATGATGTTCATCCTGTAAATTTAGAACCTGGAAGCAACTTAATACCTGTCCAGGTGTTAACACTTCTAAGTGTGTATTTGAGACTGAGATGTACACCTCTGCACATAAAGCTGCGAGCAAAAAGAAATGTGTGTCAGATAAGAATTGCCTGCAATTTCCTATTGAGTGGTTGGCATTCACAGTTGGTGGCAAACTTGCAAAACAAACCTGAGAATGTTTCCTTTTCTTTCTCATCAGGCAGGAAATAGATATTCAATATACAAATTATTACCTTTGAAAGTGTCCCTGATAGGAACACATTCAATCATTTGTTTGTATTGATTAAATGGTTCTTCCACTCCATTCTTTGTTTTGGCAACCAGTATGATTTATTTTTGGAATAGCAACATACAGTCCTATGTGAAAACTTCCTGGTAGTTTTATAAAGCCCCCTATCTTTTCTTCAGTCCTGTCTTTCCTCCATCCTCCATTAAGTTCTCAAAAATCTACTTACCTCCATCCTCAGAAGTATTTCAAAAAATACTCCTGGTGTAATAAGACTTAACATGTGAAAAAAGGATGTATTTGTAAAAAAAAAAAAAAGTTGGCCATCCTTTTTACATAGAAGTAAATGAATGCATGTTTGTGGTTTAAGAACAGAATTTTGTTTTTAGCCCAGAATGCACTTGCTGCATATTGCTTTGGATGGTTTCTGTTTTATTATAGCCCCATAGATGGAAGATCCCACTACCCCAGATTTTTTTTTGAGGTATTCAGAACTAAATCACTTACTTCTCCCAGTGTGTTTTTTAACAATAGTAAAGTTGGCTCATAGCCTTCACAGCAGGAATAAAACCTGTAGGAAACAAAAGAAATGGGATGAAATAGTCCCCTGCTAATGGCTGGAGAAGCAATTCCTTGATGGCATTGAGATGGAGATGGTTTGAACAGTGGAGCATGTTATTCTTAGTGCTTTATTAATAAGTCTGGAGTGAGAAAAACAACAAGATGAAAATCAGACAGACTTTGAAATAGAAGTTATCTAGTTACCACACATGTTATACATTGTCACAGATCCATGTACTTATGGAACATGTATTAAGTAGAACAAATTCTATTTTTCATGCAGATAATTGTCTGCTATAAATCTTCTAAATATATCCATAACCATTAGGGATGGGTGATAAAGATGATAGAAGTTGCAGAAATTGATAAATTAACTTCTTTGATCAGAGAAAAATAAACAATACTTCTATTTAAGGCTGATTGAAAACACCTTAAAACCTTTTTGTATGAATAGCAAAAAAATGCACTTATGACCTGTGATTTTGATAATAAGAAAATATCTTGATAATAGAAAGAACTGAGCTTTTTTGTAATCATTGCATAAGAGATAATTTTGTAATTGTGTTTATATTTGCTGCAAAGGATATCAGAAGCTTCTGCACTTTCCTTCCTTCCTTCCTTCTTTCCTCCCCGCTCCCTTTCTCCCCCCTTCCCCACCTGCCTACCTGCCTCTTTATTTGTCTTAGTTTTTATGCTCTTTTAAAACTTTTAATAACAATGTATAATTTTTTCTATATATTTTCTAAATATGCCATTCTACTGTTTTAAAACTCCTTGTGGAGTCTTCAGAGCAATGATTTAAAGGATCGGGACAAAGGGACAGGAAAATATGCAAGAACCTTAGACAAAGGGGCTGGGACATTATTTAAGTCTTGGGAAACAAGATAATATTTGGAAGTTACTCGGGCATATATCTCTCAAATTAACTGGAGTATAAGAAGAAGGGTAGGTGCATAATATTCAGATTTATAAGATTCTGCTATTATAGCCAATCTCAATGAAGTATAGTTCTGGTCTTCCTATGGAGCTGATTTTTTAGTCCTGTCTATCCAGGTGGTTGACCCTCAAAAGACATTATATTGAATGTGAAGGTCCTGAGATGTTGGGAAGCAATGTTGATATTTTTTTTTTCATTTATCTAAAAGCCTTATTAATACTGGAGCTAAGCACCCTTTTTTCCTTCATTTCTATCTCCTCTTTTAGGATAGCAGCAGAGTTTCTACCTCTTCCCCTGAATACCTCTTACATTCTGCTCTTGAACGAAGCCTCATGATTCTTTATATGCATTTTAGTGATCACAACTAAGTCTACAAAGTTGGTTGTTAAATGAAAGTGTCACTTAAATGAAACTGTGACTGTTCTTATGATGTTACTTAAGCTTTCTTTGCCTTACAGATCTGCATAGTTATACATGTGAGGACTGGTCATAAATAGCAATAGCAGTTAGACTTATATGTCACTTCACAGTGCTTTAAAGCAGCGGTCGCCAAATGGTGGGCTGCGAGAAAATTTTGGTGGGCCGCAAAGAAATCTCAACCCCAGAGCACCCCACAAGGAATTAATCCAGGCTGCGCAAAAACACAAGGCTGCGCTGCCCACATGGCCCCGCAGGAACCCTCCCCGCCCACTCACTCCTTACTCAGCAAAATTGCTATTTTTCCTTTTTCCAACCATCAGCTGTTCTGCTGTGCCAGGAGATTTAGATTAGCTAGGAAGCAGTAAATGGTTGGATTTTTTTGCTTTCTAGCTAGTCTTTAGATCTTCGGCTCTGCTTTTAAGCACAGCTGAACCTCCCTTGGGACTGAAGGTTCTATTATTCAGTGCAGACTCACGGCAAGCAAATTTTATGTGACAGACTAAGGTAGCTGATGGCAGACAGATAGATCACTGAATGATTCTGTGAGCAACTCAATCTGCTGCCTGCTTTGCCTGATTTTGGGTAAAAGTTGCTCTTTTTTAATAAAAAAAATCAATATTTATATAAATATTTATAATATGTACATACAAGCCATGCCCAGCCAGTCACATGCTCACCAAGCCACACCCCAAAATTAGGCCATGCCCACAGAACCAGTTAGTGGTCCCTGGGATTTAAAATTATGAGTTTGGTGGTCCCTGAGGTCCAAAAGGTTGGCGACCTCTGCTTTAAAGCCCTCTCTAAGCAGTTTAAAGAATCAGCATATTGCCCCCAACAATATGGGTCCTCAGTTTACCAACCTCAGAAGGATGGAAGGTTGAGTCAACCTTGAGCCTGGTAAGATTTGAACTGCCAAATTGCAGGCAGCTGGCAGGAAGCAAAAGTAACCTGCAGTACTGCATTCTAACCACTATGCCATTGTGTCACCAACATAACTGCAAATGGTCACTGAATGAGGATTATCTGTATAAAACCTTTTTTCCCCCTTTTGAATTTCCATAGAAGTTTGTTTGAGCACCTATTTTTTTTGTGTGTTTGACATGACGCATAAAATGCCTGGACGAATAGCAGTTGGTAATGACTGCCAACATGTCTTTGTTTTGTTAAATCCATAAAGGAAAAGCCAAAACATTCATTCAGTCCCACCATTATTCCTTCCTTTATTTAAAACTTTTATGTGGCCACCCAATTCAATCAAGATGATTTTAAGCAACTTCCAAAAAGAAAAAGAAAAAAGCAACAAAATGTAACAAAAAAAATAAATCCAAATCTTGTTCCATGTTGTATAATAACTGCAAAGCAGACATTTGGAAGCTATAATTTCTGCTCAGTGAAGCAGGCAATTGCTCACATAAAACCTGAATGCATCATAATCTCCATGGCACGTGATGGATCCTGACACAGATTCCTGGGTTTGGAATCAGACAGCTTAACTGTGGTTGTAAAAAGAGTGATATTTTCAACGTAGGTACACCTTGGCTGTTTGATGTTCCAAGCTTTAATGTTCACACCATTAAGGATGTGTAGTCACATCCATCTTTTGAGAGGGTATGAGGTTTTCGCACTGCTCCCAACATATCCTTCAGCTGTTTTTATTGAGGTACCTGGATTTCTAAATATTTCCTTTCTATTTTGAAAATACTTATAGGAAAATGGCTAGAATACAGCACCCCCCCCCTCAATGATTAAATGGCTAATTGGTTATATGAACTACAGAGAAGATCCTAGGAACTGGCATGTGGGCAGCCCAAAACATTAATCACATATAAATGAGTCTTCTAACATTACCAGGACTTCAGCCACTCCCAAAGCACTGCTAATGTCGATTCACCCAATGGCTTCTGCCCTCTTCCCAGCAGGCTCCTTTCTGAATGGCAGAATTAGAGGTAAGCCAGTGTAAAACAGCACCATTTCACTCTATGGAGCCACCTCTATTATAATCTCTGGAACAATTTGTGTCAAGTTAGTGGTTTCTTGTGAAGAAGCAAGAGTTTTTGCCTTGATATCAGCAATCAAGAGCAGTAAGGGTGAGCTACTTCCCTCTGGTGGAGATTCACTTTTGCAGAAGATTGCTGAACATCAGGAAAGAGGCTATTTCCTCATGGCGTGTCTAAAAGTGGGGAGTTCTGATTTGTGGAGTTTGCCTCAAAGGGAGTTTTTCAGTTAAATTTCTTTGATTGAAGTATTACCTCATAAGAATCTAATTATCTAAGCATAGGAAAGGTCCCTCCCACCAGGCTAAAGAGAAATATATCCTACAAGCTCTCAGGAGAGATCCGTTCAGTGGTGGGATTCATTTTTTTTTATTACCGGTTCTGTGGGCGTGGCTTGGTGGGCATGGCAGGAGAAGGATACTGTAAAATCTCCAGTCAGAGGTGGTATTTGTCGGTGCTCCAAACTACCCAAAATTTCCACTACTGGTTCTCCAGAACTGATCAGAACCTGTTGAATACTATCTCTGGATCCGTTCCATCATCTCCTTCCTGCCCTTATCTGACAGTTGCCATTTCCAGAATTTCAATATGAAGCTAATCAAAGCAAGAATATGCTGGTTTAAGAAGTGTGGCCTTGATTTGCTTCTTTCTTTTTCTTCTTTTCTCTTTCTCTGTTAAGACAGATCTGTTCTAGGTCTGAAGGCTGAAATTAGAGATTATTTTTATTTTACTAATCTTATGTAAGCCATTCTGAGAAATTTTATAATCGGAGAAGATTAAAACTGTTAAATAAATAGTACATGCTCCAAGGTAATCACCTTCTTGAGCTTTTTTCTTTTCTTTTTTGGCATCTTAGATTTTTTTTTTCTAATCTGATGCTTTTCATACATTTTGGGAGCTATAGTACTTATATCGAGGAAGACTTTATAATTAAGATTCTGAAGAATGACTAATACCTGAAAATCCTGTTGTGATAAATCTCAGTATTACTTGTTTCCAAAAATACCTCACAACCCGCCATCCTCCCCTATTCTCATGTGTCTCCCCATGTTATATTTTTCAAACTTGAAAGTTCCAAAGCATCTGAAATTTTAAGGATCCTACCCTTGCATTTTCTCTGATGTTTCCCCACACCCCCATTTGTCCTGAATATGTGCTGATTAGGATCATTCAAAAGAAAGCAATGAGATACTGATTTCAGTGGCAGCTTTCTAATTGCATCTTCTGCCAAAGGGTACATTTCCAGAGAAATTTACCTCTGCTCCTGTCTGAGCACTCTACATGGAAATTGCTTCTGATGAGCAAATATTCAAATTGGGAAACATATTGCTTGGAGGTTTCATAGCCCACACTGAGCCCACAAGATTCTATTATTTGTTCAGTAAACAGAGATGGGATAGGCACTAAGGCTGTGCAGCACTTTGGATATTATCTTTGTAAAATGATTTGGAACTCAAGGGATGTAAATATAGAACCCCTCCTCCCAAATCTTTAAGTCATCACAAGATTGTTGGGGTGGGGGGTGGACAACATTCTAAAATGCTGCAGGCTAATATTGTATTCATGCACCTGCATGCTCTAGTCTGAAGCACTTTCTGAAAGTTGTGCTGTGATGGCGCAGTAGTTAGAATACAGTCCTGCAAGCTACTTCTGCTGACTCCTGGCTGCCTACAATTTGGCAGTTCGAATCTCACCAGGCTCAAGGTTGACTCAGCCTTCCATCCTTATGAGATGTGTAAAATGAGGACCCAGATTGCTGACTTCGTAAACTGCTTGGAAAGGGCTGTAAAGCACTGTGAAGAGATATATAAGTCTAAGTGCTACTCCTATTGCTATTGATCCTGAAGCATTAAGCAGCCTTAATAAGCATGCTTAGAGGTCCAACAACACTACACTAACAACTCCCAAGTGTTATGAATTAATCAGCTTGGCATCCTTTTCTGTGCTTTTATACCTAAAAGATTGGATTAAGACACTCTCACAATTTTCCAGTTTTTCAGCTATGCCAGAATTTTTCCAAGAAAAGATCAAGAACTCTCAAATACTGGAGTTAGCAGCAAAAGAGGGTGTCATTTAAGAATCGCAGGATCCTTAGCCCTCATTTGAGCTTAAGGAAGGTGCATAAACCATAGTTGTTATTCTGAATGTTGGCTCAGTCTTAATTTTTTTTGTAGTAAGCTTCCCAAGTGCTTTGTTTTATCAAGGTCTAGAACTGACTTGTGAATACTGTACTTGTCTTTAGGTAATTATGTGGCATTCTCAGCTATGCCGAGACCAATTGTAGTGTCAATATCATAAACACTTAAATGGACTGTATGAATAAATATTTTAAGGCCATTTTTTAAAGCACATCAGTAAACTGACAACATTTGACTACTAGACTAAGCTTTAATATTGTTTCTTTGATTTTGGAAGACTTAGAACATGGCGATTTTATAATCTTCATAACTGCCAAAGCTTTCACTTTGTAAAAATATGATGCTCTTGTTTCTAATACTCTATTCAGTTTCTTGTGCTAATTCTTTAATTGGTCTAAACTTTTATGTTCAGTTTATTATTTGCCTTAATAAGTGTCAAATTTTGGTTAATATGGCCCTTACCTTTGCAAACTGTATCCATTTTCAGAAGTTGAGAATAAAAGAACAGGTGGGTATAAAGAAAATCGTTCGGGGATCCAGGACCACACAATGCGCATTTCTTGAGCTTTAACAATAGTGGAACTAAAATTATGTGCATTCACAATGAGATGGAATGGTTGTCTGTGCAATGGGAAAAGAAAAGAGAGGCTCTAATCAAACTATAATTCCCAGGAGATTGACTTTTAGGATAGAGAGGGCACTCTTTGCAAATAATTATCAAGCAGGAACAGCTGCTGATATATTACATCCTGGAATTTCAATGGTACAGGACACACAGTGGATATAAACTCTGGGACTTATTTTAGAGCAAGGATCGTCATGCGATCTGCTGGTCCTCAGCTTTCCTTATTCTTTTTACATTTACATCTACATATTCCTTCAGGGTAGAATTTTATACTCTGGGTGAAGCATAAGATATCCTTTGCTCTTCAAACCAGAACTGTCTTAAAAGACAGTTGTTTGGTATTCAATGTTCAAGGAGATACTCAGTCATCCAGGTTATGGTTATCCCCAAGGTGCTTTTTCAAAAGGCAACTGGACTTTTCAAAGGAAAAATAAAGAAAGATTATTTTAACAAAAGATATCATATTAGAAATACTTTCCTCCCCCAACCAACACACAAACATATATGCCTACATGTATAAACTAGACAACCTTCTTTAGACAATCTATTATCCCCAGTTCTGAAACTAAGTTTACTTTACTTTACAGAATTTCAGTTTCTTTAGGTTTCAGGATTGATGCTGAATCTGATATTAGATGTGATTTTAAGCATGGCCCGTCTTGCCAATATTACTGACAGAAATGTCCATTTCATTTATCTGGGAAACTGCCCGTGCATATGTATCCCACTCAGAAGAGGGAACACCAATCTAAAAGGCATAATGTTGGTGCTTCCTCCAACTTTTTCAGGCCACTTGATCATTAACGGCATACTGCAGCCGTACTCCAAAATGGGGACAAGAGAAGGAGAAAAGTGGGGCAGGACAAGAACAACCTCATCGATTAAAATATAATTTATTGCACTCACAGACCAATATTCAAAACAAAACATAATAGAAATAAAATCAGAATAAAATCAGAAAACAGGCTAAGAATGGTGATGGGTTCATCAGCGGGTACTCAGAGTGTGGTTAGCTCATAGGGAATTTTTAAATATAATTCTTGCAGTTATTAACTAAATACAGTTAGGTTGATTATTCAATTGCAACAACTGGGGAGATTTTGGAAGCAACATTCCAGTTCCTGAAGCCTTGGGGTCTGACCTTAATATTAGTTCTGTATGTTCTCTTAGAAAAATATCTGCTGTCAGGAATGGGCTTTGGAAGTCCATATTTTATAATTCAGACTGAGTAACGAAGTTTGGCTAAAACAAAATCCTACTGTCAAATTCTAATATATCTCAGAGAAAAAAGCACAGTAAAGCTTAAACCATATACATACAGTAAATGGTAGATCCCAATGGTAGATTGTTAAAGCACATGGAAATTTAAACCAATTTGCTTTCATGGCTATTCTTGATGTACTTTTATGCTTTTTTTTACACTTTTTCCAAAGCTGGTATAAAACTATAATAGCTCAGATTTGTTTATTTATTTATTTATTTTAAAAGGTGCATGCATACCTGACCATTACTATCTACTGGCAGGATGATCCAATATATTCTATGAGGTCTATAAACATCCAGTACTTAAAGCAGATTGATTATAGCAGTTGTGGTATAGACTCTCTCTGTGGATGAAGGCATATTTTACTGTGATTGGTAGGGTGGGCAGAAAATACTCTGCATGAGTTATTCCAATTGGGTAGATTCTGCAATCATTTAGAGTTGTATTGTCTAGCATCTCGTAACTGGAAACGTTATGACATGCCCCAAAATATAGTAAACAAGGTTCTTATACCTGTGATGCACCATTGTTACTCCTTTATCCATCAGAGCCTTCCGGTTAGCCATTTGAAGAAGCCAGATTTCTTTGCGGGAGAAAAGTCGGATGCCAAATGCTTTCTCTAAAAGCTTGTCAGCCGCCAAGTATTCCTGAATATCCCACAGGAAAGCCTGCAAGCTTCCCTTGATGTCAACCACCTCTTGTCCTCTTGAGGTCATAAAGAGCCGGTATTGCTTCAGCAGTGCCAGAGCAATGCGGTAAAGGACTTTTTGCCCCTCTAAGAGATACACATCGAAGATGCGAATGACATAATTAAAAGGAAGATCATCAAAGAGCCACACCAGCCACTCAGAGTACACCTCAAAGATGTCTGATAAACTTGCTATCAGTTGATGGGCAGCTGGGCAGTGCTTATTGGCTAAGTCCCCGAAGGTCATACAGGAGGCCTTGTGAGCCAGGAAAAACTGGTCTATGTAGGTGGTGTGAGGAGCCTTGGAGTAGAGGAGTCGGCAAGTAAGCTCAAAGCATTGGGCCTCGTCTTGGCTATAATGGAGCAACAGAGCAGTCACAGCTGGGAGCAAAGGACTGTAAGTAATCTCAGGGTAGAGACTGGAAATGCAGATAAGTATTTTCTTCAAAGCCGTTATCCCTTCTGGAGTGAGGCAGTATTCAGGCATGATGCTTCCTGACAGGAATTCAGGCAAGGGATCAAAACTTTCACTCTGGTTTCCGAATAACTTGCTGGCCACATCTTGGTAGACGAAGGCATCGGGAGTCATTAGCCGGCATGGTATATCTTGGATAATGTGCTGGTAAGCCTTGGCTCTCAGGGAATGGCTTCCAGCCCAATATCCTTCCCTTGCTAGCTTCTTCAGCTCTTTCCTAGACTTGCCAAGGAACTGCTCGTGAGAGTCCTGATGATCATTCAGTTTGGGGATTTTGCTCTGGTCCACAAATACACTGCAGCCTAGGTAGGAAGCTGAATTACTGTCCCATGTTCCAGCCGTGGCAATGATTTGCACAGGTTCTTTAATTGGATTAACTGTCTCTGTAGAATAAAGACATTATGTTCAGTGCAATTTATCAACTAGTTGACAGCTTGCTTAATGCTGCTTGACAATATGGGGGGGGGGGGGAAAGCTGCGTTGTTGTTTTCCTCCAACTTTTGAACAAGTTGCAGTTAAAATGATAAACAGCAATTTTCCATTTGTTCTTAAGCTTCCATTTCACTCAATAGGTAGTTGGTCTTATCAATCAGAGTACTTGTTAGGAGTTGAAAGGTAGGCAATAGAAGATTTACACTATGGTAAAGTTAAATACTAAATATGATGCAATATATATATATATTTAAAGGGATGTACTTATCTAATGAATAATCATCATACAGTTCTCAAAATGGTTACAAAATAGTATTTTTTTATTCCGATATGGCATCAGTCAACACAGCAAATACCTGACTTCCGGTTTGAGCTTCTTTGGCGACAGACTGAAATCCACCATTGTGCACGACTTTGATCCGTGCTCGCCGCCAGAGCACCCTGAGCTGGCTGGATTCAGGGCTAAGCCATCCCATAGAGGTGGTGAAGAGGGGGGAGACTGCCAGCAGGGTCGAGGAGAGTCGCATCTCCTCCTCAGCTGGCCATTACTCCCTTTCCCGAAGGCAGTTGCAGCAGTGGTCAGAAATGGCCACCTCAAAGAAGAACTCATCCGGAAAAGAATGTGCAAGAGGAAGATAAAAAAAAGAAAGTTTTGGTTGATTGGGTTAAACTGAAAAAGCAACAATGTAAGGTACCCTGGAATTTGAACTATAAAAAATATCATTGTTCCCTCAGAAGACTTTGAAGCAGTGAAGGAAGAGAGGAAAGGGAAAAGATCTGCCTTTTTTTTCTTCCCTTCCTTATACTGACAGCTAAGAGATTTAAGTAAGAAATTGACAAAAATCCACTTTGACATCAATAGGCATTTAAGCTGAAAATAAAATGTCAAAGGGATAATAAAGACTTTTGGATACTCAAGAACCTTTAAAAGCAGGAAAGGAGAGAAAAGGAAAGAATAAAAGGGCGGGATCTGGAAAAATGGAGGAGACTGCCTGGAACTAAAAGGAACTTATAGTGAAACCTTAACAAGATTCCTAAAAGATACATTCTAACTGAAACTTTGTAACAAAATAATAGAACCCCAGGAAGAGAAAGTGGAAAAAAAGAAGCAAGAAGAAACAGCTTTGGATTATTTGGATTACTTGGTGATTTTTGGAGTTTTGGCTATTGGATTTAAATGACTAAAATCAATCAGTTGTTTGTTAAAAGTGTTTAAAATGGCATCACTTTAGAAGAACTGAAAATGGAATTTAAAAAACAGAAAGAAGATGCACAAGAAGGAAGAGGTTCTTTTGGCTTCATATTTCAATTTTTAGAAATGGAGATCTGGAACTATGAGAAACAACAAGAAACGCTTGTAGAACAAGAAGGTTGGGACAAAGAAGAAGCCATCTTTAATGATCAAGTAATTTTAAGTAGGGGGGGAAGAAAAGGAGGGAAAGAGAGTGAAAAGTTTAAGATTTGAAAAAACAACCAAAAAAAAGAATAGTTTGAAAAATAATTACAATATTAGGAAGCAACAGAAGAGAGGATCACAGAAGAGAGAATTATAAGTAGAGAGACAAGGGGACAAAAATGGGAGAGAGAAGAAGAGGGGGAAGAAGGAAAGGAAAAGAAGTTATAAAAGACAGAAACACGATATAGAGAAACAGGGAAAATGCATAAGGATTGAAAGTATAAGCCTATTATATAATAATTTTAGAAAACATGAAACAATTTATGATTAAAATGATGAATAAAATATTTATTATAATGCAGTGGAATGTTTGTTAATAAATACATGAAATAAAGTGAATGAGAGAATGAAATTAGGAAAGGATGGGAACATTTTAATTCTTATTAATGATTTATAAAAAATATAAGGGAAGAGAAATATGGAGAAAAAAACAATTAATTATGGAAAGGTTATAAGTGTTCACAAGGAAGTATGTTATTCAATTGAAAAGAAATGTTAAAGATGTTAAGATTCTAACTAATATTAATGATAGAATTGAATTGGAATGGAATGAGTGTTTTATTCACTATTGTTTTTTATATATACACTGCTCAAAAACATAAAGGGAACACAAAAATAAGACATCCTAGATATGAATGAATGAAATATTCTTATTAAAAACTTTGTTCATTACATAGTTGAATGTGTTGACAACAAACTCACACAAAAATTAGCAATGGAAATCAAATTTAGCAACCCATGGAGGTCTGGATTTGGAGTTACACTCAAAATTAAAGTGGAAAAAAACACTACAGGCTGATCCAACTTTAATGTAATGTCCTTCAAACAAGTCAAAATGAGGCTCAGTAGTGTGTGTGGCCTCCACAAGCCTGTATGCCCTACCTAAAACGCCTGGGCATGCTCCTGATGAGGTGGCAGATGGTCTCCTGAGGGATCTCCTCCCGCACCTGGACTAAAGCATCCCCCAACTCCTGGACAGTCTGTGGTGCAACATGGCATTGGTGGATGAAGCGAGACATGATGTCCCAGATGTGCTCAATTGGATTCAGGTCTGGGGAACAGGCGGGCCATTCCATAGCATCAATGCCTTCATCTTTCAGGAACTGCTGACACACTCCAGCCACATGAGGTCTAGCATTGTCTTGCATTTGGAGGAACCCAGGGCCAACTGCATCAGCATACGGTCTCACAAGGGGTCTGAGAATCTCATCTCGGTACCTAATGGCAGTCAGGCTACCTCTGGCAAGCACATGGAGGGCTGTGCAGCCCCCTAAAGAAATGTCACCCCACACCATTACTGACCCACTGCCAAACTGGTCATGCTGGAGGATGTTGCAGGCAGCAGAACATTCTCCACGGCATCTCCAGACCCTGTCATGTCTGTCACATGTGCTCAGTGTGAACCTGCTTTCATCTGTGAAGAGCACAGGGCACCAGTGGCAAATTTGCCAATCTTGGTGTTCTCTGGCAAATGCCAAACGTCCTGCACGGTGTTGGGCTATAAGCACAACCCCCACCTGTGGATGTCGGGCCCTCATACCACCCTCATGGAGTCTGTTTTTGACCATTTGAGCAGCCACATGCACATTTGTGGCTTGCTGGAGATCATTTTGCAGGGCTTTGGCAGTGCTCCTCCTGTCCCTCCTTGCACAAAGGTGGAGGTAGCGGTCCTGATGCTGGGTTGTTGCCCTCCTATGGCCTCCTCCACATCTCCTGATGTACTGGCCTGTCTCCTGGTAGCGTCTCCATGCTCTGGACACTATGTTGACAGACACAGCAAACCTTCTTGTCACAGCTCGCATTGATGTACCATCCTGGATGAGCTGCACTACCTGAGCCACTTGTGTGGGTTGTAGACTCCGTCTCATGCTACCACTAGAGTGACAGCACCGCCAACATTCAAAAGTGACCAAACCATCAGCCAGAAAGCATAGGAACTGAGAAGTCGTCTGTGGTCACCACCTGTACTCCTTTATTGGGGATGTCTTGCTAACTGCCTATGATATCCATTTGTTGTCTATTCCATTTGCACAACAGCATGTGAACTTGATTGTCCATCAGTGTTGCTACCTAAGTGGACAGTTTGATTTCACAGAAGTGTGATTGACTTGAAGTTACGTTGTGTTGTTTAAGTGTTCCCTTTATTTTTTTGAGCAGTGTGTGTGTGTGTGTGTGTGTGTGTGTGTGTGTGTGTGTATACAGAGACAGAGACAGAAGACAGAGGCCTGATGATGATGAATGAGACTTCATCGAAACGTTGCCTAGATACTTTGAAT